AGCACAGTTTCTGTCACATATGAATTCCATAAATGGTAGCTTACCATTCTAGTAATGGGGATTGCATCTTCATTTTTAACAGGTCCGGAAATGATTACTCCATCAGAAATCACTGTGTTTGATATGCTGACACCCACGACAGGTTTGGAATGTGAGGTATGACTGGGCAATCTCTTTCAATTATTTGTCATTTCTGTATATCATCTACTCAAGTTTCTATAATTATCCTAATACTTCCAAACTTCTTTTGGTATGCTCTCTAGTCTGTCCTTGCTAAAGGGTAATGAAAAATATGTATTACATTATACCAATTGTGTTTTCTTCACTGACTCAGATATTTCTTATTAATTAACTTCTGGTCACACTAAGAAAAACAAATAAAACTGAAATGAGATCTTAGGTGTGATCTCCTAATAAAGAGTTATCTAGTGTGGGCTTCTCTGTAAATCAAGCATTCATGAAATATTTATTAAGCAGCTACTAAATGGCACACACTATGCAAGGTGATAAAGATGCATTGTAAGAAAAAAAGATAAAAGTCATTGCCCCTTAGAGTTAGTTGTTTTCTCCACTGAGACTTGAGCAGCTATCTTCTTACTTCAAATATGCGACTTGTTCTGATTAATTATTTATTCAAGCAATATTTATTTAGTACCATTTCTGGCCTGGCATTATTCAGGTGCCATGGAAAAGACATAAAAGCAGGAAAAAAATCCTTGCCTGAAGGAGTTTACATTCTATTGGAGTTTCTGAGGTTGCCAATAAGCAAAATGAACTACTAGGTTATATAAAATGTTAGAAGGTGCTGCTCAGGAGAAAAATAAAACTATTTTCAATTAGGTGGTCAGAAAATATTCACTGATAAGGTGACTTTAGAATAAAATATCTCAAGATGATGAGAGAGTAAACAATGAAGAGACCAGGACAATAATGTTTCAGGCAGAGGCACCAGCAAGTGCAAAGGCCCCGGGGCAAGAATGTACCTAACGTATTAAAAGAATAAAAGAACAACAAGGAGACTATTAATTAAGAAAGAAATAAAAGAGTAGAAAATAAAGTAGATTATGAAAGACTTTGTAGACCATTATAAAGACTATTTTTTTTTTTTATTCTAAATGACCCAGGAAGACACTGTATATTTTTGAGGCAAGGAATTATATGATTTGATTTGCTTCAGGATTATTTTGGCTGCTGTGTTATGAGTAAGGTGTAAAGAGACAATAGAACCAGTTAGGAGGCTATTGTAGGCATTTAGACAAGAGACGATGGTGGTGGTCTGTTCCAGTTGATAGCAGTGGAAGTGGTGAGAAATGCCTGGATCCTGGTTGTATTTTGAAGGTAGAAGTTGCAGAATTTGCTGAAGGATTAGATGTGGGGTGTGAATGAATGAGAAGCATTAAAGATTCTAAGATTTTTTTTCCTTGATTAACTGAAGGATTGGCGTTAACCAGCATGGAGAAATTGTTGGAAGTGAAGGTCTGGGGTAGATGTAATCATGAGTTCAGTTTGGCCATGTAAACTTTGAGATTGTTCGTGGACATCAAAAAGCTGTGGATGTACAGATCTGGTAGACACATATGGAGTATAGGACAGAGATCAAGCTAAGAAAATTTTGGGAATTCTCTGTGGATAAATGGTATTTAAAGTTATGAGACTGGATGAGATCACAAAGGAGTATATAGATAGAGAAATGAAGAGGTCCACTACAACGTTAATAGGTTGAAAAAAGATAACAAACATGCAAAAAATATTAACCAGTGGAATAGGTCAAAACAGATGATCTGGAATCCAAGAAAAGAAAATAATGTGATTATAAATTTTGAATAATCTACCACTTACTTATTTCTTATTGGTTTATCTGGAAGTTTTGAGCTATATATAAAAATTAGTTTTAATGATACCAT